GAGAGATCCTGCAAACAAAAGCGGTCCAACCCCAGGGTCCGCAGAAGCTCTGCAGTGCTGTCCTCGGGCTGTTCCTCCACACACTCAACACCCTGCGGCCTCTGTGCATTGTCCCTCTATGCTGCTTCCAAGGGACTCTCCACCTGAAATTCCTGGTCTCCCTTGGTTTGGGAGAACCCAGTTTGTTCATCATCAAAGCATAGTGAAAACATGAGGGTTGGTTTTTCTTTTCCATTGGGATGATGACTACCAGAAAATAAACCCCTACTTTATTAATATAATAGGGAAAAAAAGGGTTTCCAATTTCTTTTTTTTTTTTAATTTTATTTATTTATTTTTGGAGAGAGGGGAAGAGAGGGAGAGAAACATCAATTTGTTGCCTCTCAAATGCCCCCAGCTGGGGACTCAGCCCACAACCCAGGCACGTGCCCTGAAGGGGAATCAAATCGGCATCATTTTGGTCTACAGGCCAGCATTCAATCCACCGAGCCACACCAGCCAGGGTGGGTTTCCAATTTCTTAGAAGAAAAATAGCACAAACCAGCAAAGTGTTACAAGATTCAATGCCTCCCTTCATTGTTCTGAGAGCTCCCTGCCACACTGTGAACGTTCCATCAAGGACAGCTGCCATCAGAGCTGCTGTAAGAACACTTCACAGCTGACTCTTCAGACAGAAGACTGAAACGATATTCTTCTTGTCATAGAAGCCCTTGGTGTAGAGAGAATTTATTGCGGGAAACAGAGTCGTGCTTCTTGACTTCAAGGAAAACCATGAACTAACCTACCCTTTATCTCTGATACAATCTGCCAGAGTGCTCTGTGAAGAATCCTTTTTTATTCCTACCACAGGACCGCGTAAGAGGAGAAGTGAGGGTGGAGAGGTACCAGTGTACTAACAGGTAATGCAGGTGATGTTCTGCGCTCCACTCCTTTCTGCTGCCAGTAGATGGAGGGAGGAAGAGGCTGCCCACAAATGGACTGTCCTTGAGGTCATATTCTTTGTGTTTATGTAAGAGATCTATCGTGGGGCTCCCCCAATTGACAGTATTTGGGCAACCATTTCTACGGTGTACTTCTTACAATCATAGGCATCAGAGATTCCAGGGCCTCCACAGACCACACAGTGCCCCTGGCAGGAGCCACAGTTACACTCATCACCTGCACACCCAGGAGTCATAGAACACACACTTGCCATTGCATTTTTCACAGCCTTCTGATGGCTACACCAGCCTGCTTGTGGCAAAAAGATCAAGTCCAAACATCAGCTTTTTAAACTGACAAATTATTTTTAACATATGTCAATCAGTGCTGCTGGTTTGTTTGTTTCTTTGTTTTATTTGCCATTTGTTATTCTTATGCCCTGTAGGGATTATTTTTTTCCACCTGGGGATATTTAGAACATTAGGTAGAAATACTTAACTCATATTTTCTTTCAGACTCTTTACATCTTTAACCAGGAATATTTCAGAAGTGTTCTGCTTTTGGTTGCTGTAGATCCATGGCAGTATGCTATTGTGATAAATTAAAAGGTTTTTTCTTAAGTATAGATAACAGAGAATAGAATGTATGACAATAATAAATATCAAGGCATGAATATTTGCAGCCTCTTTCTTCTCACCTGCTAAGCAATATTTCGCTATTGTCCACCTAACCTTTGTCCCTTCCCTCAGTTTTGGGCTTTGTTAGTAGATCAGAGTGGAGAGTGTACAAGTGTGTGTGTGTGTGTGTGTGTGTGTGTGTGTGTGTGTGTGTGTGTGTGTGTGTGTGTTGGAAGGGAACAAGCTAGGGAAAGCAGGAGGGAAAGATGGGTAAAAATTACATTGAAAAGAAAGTAAATGACTGATGGACGAAAATTAATTTGATCCCAAGGAAGAAAGAGAAAAAGGCATGAGACTGTTCAAGTTTCTGAGAAAATACAAGTAGAGATTTTGAGGAATAGCTGCTGTGTGGAAAGGAATGTGGAACTGACAAATAGAAGAGCTACTTTATAAGTTTTGCTCTGTATTAAGTGTGTATCTGACCTCTAAACCTGCCACATACACCCAGAGCTTTCCGAAGTGAAGGTTTTAATTGCTTTCAATATTTTGGGGGACTGTTTTCTCTGAATTTTATATTCTCCTAAGACTGGGCCACAAAGGGCTTGACTTAGTCATTTAAACTACCAAAATCTCAGGACACCAGGACACATTTTCTATTCAGTATTTAGACATTTTCTATAGACATTGGTTAGTGACTACTAATTTTAAGATTAAGAGGATAAAAAAACACATAGGGAAAAATCTTAAGAGATGTTGCATTTTTTTTAAAGATGCATTTTTGAGATTTTAATCATTTTGTGAACCTTCGGAAAAAGTCTGCTACAAAGCATTTAACATTGCTACTCCCCTGAGGCCTTCCTGAAATCAGAAACTCTTTTTGCCACAGACTTTCAGTATTTTTCTTATATCTTTGTTATTATACTCAATTTATTCTGTGTGGCTTGTTTTTTCAAAGAAACTTATTATAAAAGTAATATATATTGGTCTGTATTTAGTTTTCTCCCACCCAACCCCCACAGATTTATTGACTTATAATTGATAAATTGAAGTATAAATTGATATATTATATATTGCCTTTATAATAACATATTAAAGTATATTAAAGTATACAACTTGATTTGATATACATTGTGAAAGGATTCCTACACTCAATTAACATCCCCACATACAGTTACTTTGTTTTTTTTGTGAGAATGCTTAAAATGTATACTCTTAGCATATTTCACGTATACAATACAGTATTATTAACTATGGTCACCATGCTGTACATTAGATCCTCAGAACTTATTCATCTTATGGGAAGTTTGTACCCTTTGAGCAACCTCTCCCCATTTGTCCCACCTCTAAGCCCCTGGTACCCACCAATCTTTCTGTTTCTATGAATTTGGCTTTTTTAAATTCTACATATATGTGAGATCATATAGTATTTGTCTTTCTCTGTCTGGCTTGTTTCACTTAACATAATACTTTCCAGTTTTAACCATATCATTGCAAGTGGCAGGACTACCTTATTTTTGTAGCTGAATAATATTCCATTGTGCATATATACCACATTTTCTTTATCTATTCATCCATCAACAGACGCTTGGGTTGTTTCCATGTCCTGGCAACTGTAAATAATGCTGCACTGAACATGGGAATAGAGACATCTCTTTGAGATAGAGATTTCATTTTCTTTGGATATATGCCCAGATGTGGGATTGCTGGATCATATGGTAGCGCAATTTTTGATTTAGCCTGGGTTTATTCTTAATTGCGTATTGTTAGCCTATTGAAGACAGAGACCATATCTCATTTATAAAGCAATATCATGGCAATTAACAGCATAGGCCTTGAAGTCACACATATAAATCTGAATCTTGGCTCTGCCACTCTTCAGTTAAAACACCAGTCTCTTCTTGTGGTTGTTATTGTTGTTCAGCCCTGTTTAATCTCAGTACTGTAAAATTGAGATAACACCTACCATTATTCTATGATCATTATTAATATGTGGAAAATTGAGATAACACCTGCTCCTCTCAGGGCAGTTGTGAACATTAAATGAGATGTATGAAAGTGTTTAGCACAATGTTAACTGGCACACACAAGTATTCAACCAATGGTAACTATTATTATGTGTATGTCTACATTATTATTTGAATTGCTAACACGTAGCACAGAAGTAGCTACTAATATCCTTGTTGAACAAATCAGGTTTAAAATGAGAGAAGAAAACTGTGAAAGGAATCCAGGGGCTGGCACCCTTGTCTTACTATACCTTTATTTTCCTCTATGACCATAAGAGTTGGGGTCCCGGGGACTGCTATGGAGGCCAGAAGCCTGCTTCTAGCCTAAATGAGCCCTTTTGGAGAAGGAAAGAGTCAGTACTAGGGCCTCCTTGGGCGTTCTGAGCCTCTCAGGGGAATTCCAGTTCAATCCCCTGTTCCTTCACTCTTCCTGCCCTGCCCCCACAGCATCTCTGGAGAGTCTCCTAGTGATGGGAACTTCCAGTGACTACCCTGTACCTTTGGGGGGTCCCCAACTCTTAAATACCACTTCTTTCATGAAGCACTTCCTGTTTTTCCAGGTCAGAAAGAATCTCATGTTATATCACACAGTATTCATTGCCATGTTCTAGCGATTAGCCTTATGTCACTACCTGCTGTGAATTTTAAAGTCTCCAAGAGCAAAGTCTGGCTCTGGTTCCTGTTTGATCAGTACAGTGAACTGTGCATAGTTCCCAAGGAATGACTGTTATACTGAGTTATACTGATGCCAGTCTTGGGCTGCAACTTAAGCTGAGCTATAACCTCAGGCCTTGCCCTAAACTCTACGGTGTTACCCTGATTCCAGAGCTTTAGGAGACAAAATTCTGTTCCCTATGGGAGAACACAACCTCTGTTCCATTAACAACATGGAGTTCATTGTTTGATTCATTGTATAAAGTTCCCAGCAATAGATTTCAAAAAGCTGGCAGGAATCCAGAAGAAAAATTTTATGTAGGGGGTACATTGCGATTTACACAATGGTAACATCAAAATTTTCCTCTCCATAATTTAAAGTTTATTTTTTTTATATTGCCCAGCTATTACATAGGAGTGTAGTGGAAATTTAATACCTGTAACAGCTGAAAACAATCTGAAAGAATTCTGCCTCTCTTAGCAGACAGTTTACTTAGTCATATAAAAATAATAAAGCAATATAAAAATAATAAAGCAATAATTTATTTGGTCCTAACTATGGTTTTTCTGACCTGCCCAACATGCACAAAATTATAGATTTTTAATTCTCAACTATTATTACCACAGTTTTCTAAAGCGCCTGGCCAAAAATAATATTTTATAGCTATTATCCTGAGTTGTTTAACTTAACTTAGGTGAAATAACATTTCAGGAAAAGTTTGCCATCTCAGCAACTTGCTTTTCTCACTTGGCATGGAAAGAAAACGTTACCTTTTCAACTTCATCTTTCATTGCTTGGACCTCAGTTCTGCTTGAAGAATGCTAACGCGTCTGCTCTTGATTTCATGTGGCTTTTCACAAACTCGGTCAGTTTCCTGAACCCCTCAGTCAGCCCATCCCCCGTGAGGGCGCAGCAGGGCTGCACGTACCAGTTCCGGTCGCTGCAGAGCTTCTTTATTTTGAACATCCTGGTGATGTCCTCAGCAGTCAGAGCCCCAGGCACATCTTGTTTGTTGGCTAATAGAACAACAGGCACATTTTTAATGTGTTCATTCTTCAAAATGCGCTCAAACTCCCTCCTGGAGTCTTCCATTCGCTGTTTATCCGTACTGTCCACAACATACACCAGCCCGTCGGTGTTCTCACAGTAACAACCCCACACGGTTCTCATTTTTTTCTGCCCTCCCACATCCCAGACTGTGAGAGGAAGGCTCTTTTCCAACTCGATCATCTCCACGTTGAAACCTATAGTGGGGAAGGTCATAGTATCCTTAGCAAGCTTTAATTTGTAAAGGAGAGTAGACTTCCCAGCAGAGTCAAGTCCCAGAAGAAGAATCTGGGCTTGCTTGACTTTAGGGTTTTTAGAATTCAACAGACCCATTTTAAGCTCTTTTCCCTTAATGAATTTTTGTCCAGGGACAATGTTTCATCTCCAGGTTTCCTCTCCAGAATAAAATTGTAGGAGGAAAGAAGAGAGCTCATGCTTTATATGATATTCTAAGAAGAGAGACTTGTGTGTACTTACTGTTGTAGCTTATCAGCTTGATTATGGACAAACAGTGTTTTATTTGCGTTCCCAGCCAATCCTGAGGAATCTGTGGTGTGAGTAACCGGGCAATGTCATAGTAGCTCAAGGGGGAAATTCTTTCTGAGTGAGTAGGACTCAGGAGGGGCCTGTCTGGGTGATGCTGCAGCTTGTTCTTTTCCAGGTTTGGGAAGCCTAATGAAATCAAAGGTTCAGGTGTGCATGGGAATATGGTTCGGCAGCAGAGTAAAAATTTAGCTTTACGAGTGGTTCGTAGAACTTCTCTAGTTATTTGACCATTTATCTTATCCCAGTTGTAAATTAGTAATCAGACTTCTAAAATCATAAAGAGAGAGTTTATCTCTCACTTCCCGATGCGGTATCTTCAGTACTTTCCCCTTGTCCAGATTACTCAATTGGAAACGTAAAACCACCCAAGGTTGTCTGACCCTTACTCCCATAACCACATAGAGAATCACTTCTTTAACCCTCTAAGCAGGAAATTTACTCTATTCACAAGACCAGATGTACCGAAGAGGAAGTTTATAATACAAACTTAAAATTAAGCACGCAGTCTGATTAAAGATAACAAATTAATTTATTTGGAATTTATATCTTCAAAAATTTCTCCATGTATTTATCTACATTCTTTCTCAAGATTCCACCAATATGATGGTAAAGAAATAAAAAGGACATATAGCCCCGGCTCGGTGGCTCAGTTGGTTGGAGTGTTGTTCCATACACCAAAATGTTGCAGGTTTTATTCCTGGACAGGTCACGTTAGTATCTAGGTTGCAGGTTTAATTCTTGGTCGGGGCACATATGGGAGGCAACTGATCGATCCCTCTCTCCCCCCTCCACCCCCACTTCCTCTTTCTCTAAAATTAATAAACATATCCTATGGTGAGGATTAAAAAATAATAATGATAAATAAAAGAAATAAAAAAGAACATATAAACCCATTACAAGAAAACAGGAGAGTCCATCAAAGGGTGAGAGATTTTAACAAAATTCTGGCAGGTGGAATATTGGTAGAAGAGAATGATAACTGATTCCCCAGGATAAAGCTGAGGCTTGGGGTGCTGTGAGCAGGTTTCAGAGGGAGAAGGTAACAACAGAAGGGGTCAACTAAAAGTCTGAATCAGGAACAAAACACACACATACACACATGCAGTCCTCTGCTGAGTAACACTTCAGCAATGAGAAGTTACCCTCCAGCCAAAAAAACTGAAGTGTTCTTTTCTAAAAAATTTGAATGACGTCGGAAAAACAGGCCTCCATGCTTTGGCAGTTGGGAGTTTACACATCATAATGCCTAACTCAACATTCAATAACCTATAGCTGTCCTGGGAGTTGGCAGACATTGCCCTTATGTACAGAGTTCCCAATCAGCTTTTCAGAGCACAGACATTTCTATACCTAATATTTAAATGCCTGTAATATAAATGAGGAAAGACCAAGATAGAAATAAGAACATTTTAAGAAAATTTAAAAAGACATAGTACAGAGAACAAAAGAAAATAAGTTTTAATTAATATATCCAGGGAGATTTAAAAAGATATTGCATCCATAAAACAATAAATGGATGCTATTAAAAAAGGCCACTCAAAAAACAAAAACAGAACTATTGAAAATTAACAATATGATTTTTAAAATCGAAATAAAGATCAATGATAGGTTGGGAGGAAATCTTTTAGAAAGTGTAAGATAGAAAATATGAAAGAAAAGATAAGGGATGTAGAAGATCAACTCCAAAAGTTTCAGGATCTGACTTATAGTATTTTATTCCAAAGGGAACAGAAAATATGTAAATGAGGAAATCATCAAAAAAATAATCTAGCACTATTTTCCAAAGCAAAAGAATAAACTGTCCACATCAAAATGCTTCCCTCAATGCTTAGCAAGTTGATTTATAAAACAGCTATACCAAGGCATATAATACACATATTTTATTTTTATTAAAACTAACATTGTATTTTTTTTTAAATTAAGCAGGCTATTCTGGGTGCAGAAAGTACACTTATGAAGAAATTATTCACACCTTTTAAAGAAAAATTAAGTGTTTAACCACCTTGCTGTATCTCAAAAACCAGAGATAACATTTTTATTCATTTATTCATCCATCTAGTCATTCGTTCTACAAATATATATATATTTGTATCAGCCCTTAGGAGGCTTTCATTGGAGAGGAGGTAAAAAATGTGTGAATAAATAAAAATAATAATACACAGTTTAAAAAACTGTAAATGCTGTAAGTAAAAAAACCAAAGTATTCTGGATATTTAAAGATTATTTCAGGATGGAGGGTATTAGGGGAATCATCTAGGGAAGGTTAAATACTGAACTGAGACTTGTAAAGAGGTGGTGGGGGAAGGACATTAATTAAAGAGATGGTCTGTGTGAGCAAAGTCGCAGAAATGGGAAAACATAACATATATATGGGAAAACAACAGGAATGCACAGTATATGCCCGTGTATTTGTTTTTCCTACAGACATGGTTAACTAGCACGACAAAAACCATCACACAAATCTAGATTGTAGGACATGCTACAAGACAATAGTATGTCCATGTCATGAAAGACAGAAAAAAAGAGAAAAGAAAAAATGAGCAGGGGAAAAATATTCTAAATTACAAGATACATGATTTCCTAAATACATTGTGTGATCTTTGATTGGACTCTTTGTCCAAAAAAAATGATTAAAGAAATTATGACAATCGAGGACATTCAATGCTGTTATTTATCAATGTTAAATTTTAGTTTTTTTCTTTATTATTGATTTTTAGAGAGAGAAGGAGGGAGAGAGAGAGAAACATCAATTTGTTGTTCCACTTATTTATGCATTCATTGGTTCATTCTTGTATGTGCCCTGGCTAGGGAATTGAACCTGCAACTTGGCTTATTTGGATGATTCTCTTACCAAATGAGGTACCCAGCCAGGGCCCAATGTTAAATGTCTTGAGTATAATGATGGTATTTCTTTATGTTGGAGGATGTCCTTGTTCTAAAGAGACACAGGTTAAAGTACTTAGGGGTGATATCAGCAAGTTAATTTCAATTGATTTAGCAAATACCCATATATACAGAGAGAGTGCCCAGAAATATGGAAAAGTTAATAATTGATGGAGTTAAGTGAGAGGAATTGGGTGTTCACTATGCTATTTTTTAACTATCCTGTAGATTTGAAAATTTTCAAAATAAGTTGAAAGAAATGTAATGAAATGAGCTAATGGATTAGCCTGAAGTCTGAAATAATGTAAAGAAATTATTTAGTTTCCACATGTGGTAAGACTGTACTTCTAAAGGTTAACTTAGGAACTCTGACTGCATGACCACTTGAGCTCTTCCCAATGCCATATATTCAGTAAATTACCTTTTTAAAGGTTTACCATTTATTTTTTTAAATTAAACTTGATATGTTCTTTATGAGATCTACTGTCAGTATGTGTATGCCTTCACTCTGTTTTCCATTTGACCAATTTTGCCCTGTTTTCAGGATAGCCAAGCAAACAATGGGTTAAGTTCTGGGTGAATATTATATCCAAGTGAAACAATAGTTCTTCTCTGAAAGGAAGTAAAATAACTTCTTTCTCCATGCTAATTTTCATGAAAAAGTCTGCAAATATTTTAACATCCTTTGCTGTTGTCCCACAACATTTACGGATTCATTTGTCCCGGCCAGACTTGAGGGAAGGCAAAGTATTTGTTTTTTGTAAATCATTGTGAGATTATACAAAAGAAAAAAGAAAGGTAGAATTGTGAGAGAGTTACTGGCAAGCTCTGAGTAGCACAGGAAATTTGTTTTAAAATACAGGAATGAAAGAAATATTTTCTTTAATTTCTTACTATGGAGGTGGGAGGCAAAAAGCCCTAAATTAGAAACTCAATCATGTAGTGACCAGGTAAAGATATAGAAACTTTTTTTCTTGGAAGAAAGTGGCAACTTATTCCATTATTGTTATTTTTCACAGATAAAAAAAGGAAAGAATCAGGATATGATTATGTGGCTTAATTAGCTTATGCAGAATTAGAACATACTCTGTTTTTCCAACGATAACTTGTTTTTGCCAGCCTTTTAAAAAATAAACTTTAAAAAAAATGAAGTCTCACATACATACAGTAAAATGTAAATATCATACATGTACAGCTCAATGAGTTATCACAAATTGAAAATACCCATGTAACCACCACTGAGGCTAGGCTTAGTTTTTAATTTTTCATTTTTTGTTGCAAGTGAAAATTCCAGACTTCAAATGTTTCTACACCAGTTATCAGAAATGTACTCTGTTCTCAAACATGTAATGTGAGCAACAGGTACTCATTATCCTAGTTGAGATTCTTTGCTGTGAAGAATGATATAGTCCAAACTACAAGTGCCATTTTTCCAGGACAGAACCAACACTTTTATTTATATCACCAAAGGCAAGGAGCTTTTCTTGTCACATGGTAGACCATTGGATCTGAATTCAAATCTAGCCTCTGTCGGGTGTTGAATGGTGATAAAATCAAGGATGCGGTAATAATTACTTATGTTGTATAAAGTAAATGTGAAAACACATTTCACAGAACCTGGTACATAATTGATGAAAATTTTCTTTCCTCCTACAAGTTTTATATATTGGCTAATATTTAAAAATACTTGCAATTCTTAATCTTTTTCAGACAAGGAACAGTTTGATGATTACCATCAGAGTATTCCCTGGCAGAATAAATTACTGTGTGCTGGACCTCTTTCCCAATACCCAAACAGTTTTACTCCTCCTCCCCCAAAATAAGATTAAAATGAACAAGGAGACTAATACAGCAAAGGGGCCGTCTGAGAGCTTTCTGGAACTTGGGAAAGGCGGTCACACTCT